TAAACAAGTAAGATACTTACAAATAACATGAATACCCAGACCCAATGCTGACCCCTACTTCATTATAAATGGAAAAAAATTAATTTTCAACATTATGTATGTAAGAAAAGGTTTTCCTGTTATATCAAGGCATGAAAAGATAAAACAACATATAGGGTTTACCACATCAAGTAATCTGTATATGCATTCTACTTTACATATATTGATTTTTTTTAGTATTTACAATCAAGATATTTTCGAATTATAAGTTGATTATACTAAAGTTGGTACAATATAATAAAGCCAAAAATCTAATCGTTAAAAAAAGATATCTGAACTTAATTTTTAAATACATATGTGCTCTTTTGGCTTTACACTTTGGACTTATTCCCAAGATCTTTGAATTAATTCAATGCCGTGTAAACTTTTCCCTCCTCTTTTGAACTCCTTTGAGTCTTCTTCAAGATTCCTCTTTGAGACTTCAAATTTCATTGCACTATATACTTCTCATCACCATTCTTGAGTCATTCTTGAAACTTTCTTGTTTGATTTTTTTTTTTTAATACATCTGATTATGAGTTATATAAGAGGGAACAACTTTCCCTTATTTTCAAATCCCTTCTTACTTGACTTAAGACTCAAATTTAAGATCTTCAACTTGAAATTTCAAGTTCTTAACTATTGAATCATCCTATTAAAGTTGAAACTTCTTGCTTGATTGACAGTCTTGTTGGTGTTGTTCTTCATAATATCCGCTCTATTTTGAAATGGTTTCAATTCTTGAAACTTTGGTGGTAACTTCAAGTGAAGCGAACTATATATTAGTGGTGTTCTTTTGGGCATGGGAGGTAGATGTTGGTTTAGGAAAGGGTTTTCTTTTGGAAGAACTGCAGTTTTGTGATCATTGTTGACAAAACAACAAAGTTGCTGAGCCATGGATGCAAATTAATTATATTTCTCGAGTTTAAAGAATGACAATGGAATTAATGTTGAGGAATGAACTGAAGTTTTTGTATTTAACAGATGAAATATGATATAGAGGAAAGTTGAATATCATTTTGTTAATCAGACATTTGGAATTAAGAGTTGTTGATTTGGTTTCCAGTTGAACTTGGAGTCACTTCCTGGCGTGCTTAGCTTGGGCTAAAGTTTTCAATATTACTTGGTTTACTTATTTACAAAAATATTATTCTAGTCAAGTGTGATCTATAAAAGTATTTAAATATCTTTACTTAATAAAATCGATTAAGGGTGTTTTGATACTTCTATAATGCAGACTGCAATTTTTATGTGTGGTCTAAAAAGGACAAAAAAATTAAGGGTAATAATATAGAAATAATTTTTTTATATAATTTTTTTATTCAACTTACATATAAATAAATAAATGAATACACTTAATATTATAAGTTTTAAATGAATAATAAAAAGTTAATTATTTAAATAACATATAAAATTACACCCAAAAAAAGATATAAAAAGTTACTTGAATAATTTTCCAATATACAATTAACAGAAATATTAGCCTAACTAAACCGGCGGCCTTAATAGCCTGATTGTAATAATCTCGATCTTAAATGCGTTAAATATAAAATGTCAGTCCTTAATTGTTTTCTCTAGTTGAGGACCCAATTGTGACCAACAAAAACTGGGGTCTTGCGTGGCCAATTTTCTAGAAATTCTTTAGTGGAGTCTGACAGGGCAGCATTACGGTCATTAATTTGTTTACAGTTGTCAACCTCGGATTTAAGTGGGGTGTTGGCATGCTAATTAAAAATTCATTAAAAGTCAGAAAATTAAAAACAACTCAAGGCCCCTAAAGCAAGTTATTTTGAAATCAAAGTGGAAGAGCCAAAGTTCATTTTTGATATTTTTGCTTGTAGTTCTAGCTATGCACGCTTAACCCAAACCCTTGGTTTAGTGATTAGTGAGGTGGACCGCTGCGCGGTTGGGATGAGC